CCGAAACTTAGTCACCGCGCCTTTGTTTACAGATTGTAGACCCCCTAAGCGTATCCGCTGTTGGGGAAATTCATATGGAACCATCCACTCCACTGCCACGCTTCAAGTTTCTGTAGTTTTGAAATGTTCTGTGCAACCAAAGTTGGCAGTGCTGACTTGCTCGAACCACTGACTGGAAGGAGGGCAATCGCTCACTCAACTGCTGCACCTCGTGGCCACTTTGTGCCAGCCGAAGTAGAATCGCAGCCATCCACAGCACGGGTGCCAGAAAGAAACCAATTTTGCCTGCAGACACTGACCGAGGCATGATACAAACCCAAAAAAGGGAGAAATCAAGGCAGACAAGAGGCAGTACTCCTGGACAGCTTTGTAGAGCTTCTCATCCTTGCCCAACCTGAAAACATGAACCCGACCGTTTCAACTTGTCATGGAGACGTCCCAGACAACAAGCAACGAAAGCAGGCGCAGTGTCCACAGGCAAAGATTGTACCAAGGTACATTGGCGTCAGGGCCCATGGTGTTTGCTGGTCTGGCTCATCCCAAAACACCTGGCATAGCAGCTTTTGCGGTTGCTACCCCCATGCATCAGCACCTCGCTTTGCAGGCCTCATCCAACATCCAGACAAAGTTCCAGAAAAGCCATAGTGCCTCCGCAGAATGATACATCAGCTGGCCCTAAAACTTGCAGACCCTTAAGTTCAACATGCCCAGCCCAGAACTGAGTTGGGGACTGCTTGAGGTTATCCTATTCTAGAGCAGCAAGAGCTAGCTTCCTCATGTAAAGTAGCAAATGTGATCCTGCCCGCCACATCGGCAAAAAATGCTGATCGCACATTTGAAGAACGCTGCTGGCTTTGTCTTCCAAGTAGATTGCAATCTCAGCAGCCCGAACGAATTCTGTGGCAAGCTGACCCCTCCCGCGCGCCAGTGATGCAAACGCAGTCGCTTTGTTCGGACGGAGGAACTCTATTTTGAAGGTCATGCTGTCGTGACTTGCAGCCAAGAGACCTGCAGCGCAGAAGGGATCCATACTTCCATCCGACCAGTCAAGCAGTCCAGCGCAGCTGCAGCAAAGATGAAGACAAAAGCCAGAAACGATGCCGGGATGCAAACCTGCACAATCCGATGCAGAGAAGCACCAACGTCACGTTAGGTCGCACTGCTGTGATCTTTTGTGAGCACTTGTTAAGTACTTGTTGCCGTGCCGGCTGTGCTGGTGCCGGCCTGCGGGATCAGCAGAATCCATCCTGCTTCACTCAAGATCCAAAGCAATTCCCCGATGTATTTCATGACCGTCAACCTGCGCAAAGGCAAATGGTTCAATGCAAATTACACTATGGCATCAGGATGGCAAAGGGAACGCTTTTTCCAAGTTCTGCCTCCTGTACATGATCACAGCTAGCTGCCCAGAGATGGAATGGTGGACATCCGACCCATGCTGGTTTGCCATGCCATCTGAGTCAACATGCTCTGGAAGACACCATGGCTGACGCTTCAAGCTGTGATCGAGGCAGACGGGCTATGAGAAACAGGACACAAACACTTGAGAACTGGACTAGAATCAGATTATGCCAATGCCATCATCGACACCGAGCTTGCAATGCTGCAGACCTATGATTCTACCCTTATTCACCAGAGACTCAACGCATGCCAGTACTACAACATCATTACAATGTTTGAAACGTTGCATGTGCCCTCATCGACGACACACCCATGGCTGTGCCAACTGAGCCAGGACAACTTAAGACCGAAATGCCGGGAGCATAACTTTCGAAGACATTGCACCTGTACAGCCTGGCAGGTCTCAAGGCCTAGAACATCGCGGCCAAAGCTTTCCACCTCATTGCCTCACACTTGCATCTGGACATGATCAGTGAGAAACCATGCTAAAGCAGAGCTCGAAAAGCCACTGAGAACTACGCATACTGAATCGGGATTGCGGAACTCCGCATTCAGCAAGATGCGCTCCATCAGGCGAATTTCCTGCAAAAAAATGCTCAGGGCTTCCAGGTCTCTTCAACAACTTCACCTTCCTTGACATACGGTGTCCACGAAGCACTGTTTGAAGCTGTCGCCCGTGCCGGTTGAAGTTTGGGGAGCATATTGGAACCGGCACGCTGCGCAGCAACTGCCGCTGCAAGACCTGACACGCATGGCACGCAGTGCGCCTTGCGGTGACTCGACGGCATACTTCTGATCTGATCGACTCAATTTGATTTGATTTGAGCACGTGAGCGTTGTTGTACATCATCCAGTCCCGTGATTGCCATGCGGCCACAGGGCTATATCTCCCACAGTCATGTGTAAAGCAGGGAGCAACACCACTGCGTAAGTCTCAGATCAACAGCTCGGTTGCACAAGCTTTGAGACCCAGGCTTTCTTTGCCTGGTGTAGACCGAGCAGGGCCGGTGTCAGAGGTGATGGATTGCAGCAGTTGATGCTGCCACTTTCTCAAACCGTTTTGCTCACACCTTGGCGACATGTCACCCGAACAGACAGAATAAGTTCAATCACCCATAAGATCCAAGGCTGAGGACACAAGAAGGAGTCGGCTGTAGGCTTGTGCGTCCATGGCAACCTGCGCTAGTGTAATATTACAGTGCCTTCAATTTAGCCTGATTGACTGTCGGCATGCCGGGGCTAATGCTGTCTGATGCAGGCTTTCAAATAGCTGCAACGCCATCACCCAGTGCTTCACATCCTCGCCACAGCCACGTGCAAACTTCTGCTGCAATGCAATTCGAACGGCATGACCAAACCCAGCTGCAAATGCTAATGCTAATGCTATAGTATAGTAAGAAGCAGACGGGTCATGACAACGACAACGACAACGACAACAAGAAGAAGAAGAAGAAGAACAACAACAACAACAACCACATCTAAAGAAAAGCAACGACCACAACTAAAGAAAAACGACGATGACGACAACATCGTCGTTGTCATCGTGTCAAGATGACAGCTTCAGGCAACGTGTCTGAAATAACGGCACTCCAAAACTACTTCAAATAACTGTTGCCCTGGACCTGCCCAATAACTTACATGTTTGACTACTGGTACAGTGCCGTCCGGTGCGTGAGTAAGCTTTTGAAGCTACAGTCCTTTCCTGTGTTTTTGTTCAGATGTTTTCAGATGTGACAGTGGCCTTGGTAGCAATGTATGCCGTCCCAAGCGCCATCCAGTTCTGACAAGCCAGCGGCGAGAGCGACCAAAAAAGATGGAAAAATTGAGGTTGTCTCGATGAGTTCCTGATAGCACCGGAAACTCGGAGGCCGCATTCTTGTCCTTCTTTGTGTGGAACGATATCCATCTGAGGTGTCGTGCAGCACCACAGGCGCTCAAGGACATGTCAGCGAGATGCGGAGCACGCTAGCATACAGTGTACATGCACCGCAGCGCAGGTCCAAGTGGGAAGCAACCATCCCGTGATTGTTGTATCAGAGGATGTGCTGTGCCGGGTTCTTTCTCAGTGGTGTCCTGGGCAGGAGTGAATGCATGGCAGCCGCACGCAACCCCCAACTCTGGTGGCATATTCAGATCCGGACACTGCTACGAACCATCCAGGAGAGGAAAGTGAACCGATCGAGATGAGTAGGTGAAACACTAACCAAAGCATGTCGTTGTCAGACAAAGTTCGACCCGCAAAATTTGCAAACTAAAGTTTGCGTGACGAGTTCGCGCAAGTCATTTTCAACCTTACTCCACTTGGCATGTGTTGGTCTTCGACACCATCCACGTCCATCCCATTTTGCGTGGCTCAGACGGAAGATCGGATAGTGCGCTTCTGCGACGGGTGGGCGAGGTGGGTGCAAAGAACTTCTGGGCTTGGAACGTTGAGCCTCCAGCTCGTCGTGATGAATCCGTTTGCTGCCCGTTATCGAACAACTTAGAACATACCTGCACAGCTTGACTCACTTTGTCATTAGGTGCACACGTGCACTACAAGACAGCGACCTTGCTTCTGTATTCTTTGAAAAATGTGGCGAGTTTTGCGTAACCTTTCGAGGCCCAAGCAGGCTGATAGCAAAGCATAGGCCTGTTCCTTGAAACCGAGCAGACCACTGAGATTGGTGTAAAAAGCACCGCGCAGATAGATCAAAGCTTCATTCATACCGGATTCGAGAACATCGAACGCAACTTATATCTGGCAACTTTGTCAATGGCCTTGTCTGCTCTTCATGTCACTTTCGATGTCAACCAGCTCAAACAGCTCACAGTAGACGCAGCAACAGGTCCCGTCACCAACTCCTGGCAAAATGAAGGGTAACACCTCCATTGACCTTCTTTTGTGACAATCAGAACCTTCTAGTCCAGAGTTTGTGGTGCGTGTGTTTTCAAGATTTTGACGGAAACACTTCAACTCCTCAACTTTGGTACTCATACTAACCATACTGAGATGTACCTCAAGCAGAATCTTTATGCAGTCAACATTCAATCCAGGTCAGATCACGCTGGCCATGTCTTACAACTGGTACTGTAGATGTTTCTAGCTGAGCCATCCAAGCAGTAGCATTATCAAAGATCAGAGTAATGTTAGCAAAGAGGAGAGCTGTTGCTTGTAATGGTTTGCCTGGACTGGATGGAAAATCATTCCAAGCAGACTTCCGAATCACTTCAGTTGAAAGGACAGGAACGCAGAAGCGGAACAAGTGATGTCACTCCATAAGATCAGTCCAGCAAAGCTGTCAAGACTGGCGAGCTGCTTGCGGAGGTTGGCTTCAGGTCCCTGCGCTAATTTGCAAGCTGCAAGTTGCTGTTTCACAACATTGCTATGCATACGCACGTTCGCACCCATGCGCCAGCGTGACTGAGCCTTCTGGCAAGATCCACAAGGCAACACAACGCTGCCTGCAGCGCACGCATACATCAATCAAAAGCCATCTTGCCAAAGCTGGCGCTTGCCTGCCATGCCCGCGAGCTTGCACAGGCCGTGATGATGGAGCCGCATAGTCGCTCATCCGGTGCAAGTCGCAACTGATGCCTGGGCACTGGGTCTTGTGCCACAATTGTTGTGAGAGCTCAGGCTAGGAGCGGGGCATCTCCGGCAAAAGGCCCGAAGCAAGCTTCCACCGATGTCCCCGATGAAATGCCTTGGCTGCAAGTTGCAAACGCGAATGTTTGATGAGATGACGTTGCTTCTTGATTCTGCAACAGACTTCCAGCTGCAGCAGACATCTAATTTTGGCGGAGAAGCGGTCGCAGCAGCACCAAAAATCACCAGATCTGGCTTGTGCTCTCGAAGACCTTTGACATGTCATGTCTATGCAAATCTCACCAACTCTTATGTATAGGAATGCCATATTCTCCAAAAAATGCAAGTCCATTAGGCCTCAACCTGTGACTGCTCACCTGCACTTTATCTGGAAGTTGGCATGCCAATGTCTGGTCATACATCTCCGAAACTAAAATGAACATGTTCGAACTAATTGTGTGCATCAAACTCTCTTATCCCATGACGCTGGGTTCTGGCTTCGAAAGCTTCATGCGAGCTTCCGCTATAAAGGCGAAACACAAGCGGCCCTCAACAAACAAGCCTGCCAAAGTTTCACATAAGCACAGATCAGCGTCCGTGCGGACGGCTGGTGCAGGATCACCACTGCATTGCAAAGCTTGAAGCAACATGCTTTGCTGTGTACTGATACAACCAAGCTTCCAACGGAGCTCTTTCAACACCATATGTGCATGCCTCCACTTGCTTGCACGGGAGAAGCATGACACCTCAAGTACAACTGTTCAGTGGCCAGAGCGCATCGCAAAACAACCTCAACTTAGCAACTTAGGATCCGACAATGCAAGTCCATGTGCGCATGTCAGGGGCCCATTGTGCGCTGAAGTTTTCGAAGAGCTGTAGCACGTGCTGCCACTGCGTTGCACGTTCGCATGCTGCCTGATGCCAGCTTCTGTTCCAGACCGCTTGAATTCTAACAAGGTGCCCTGCCATGGCAGTATTGAAAGAGACCAGATTGGGCTTGACCCGAACTGGCATGACCTGCACAAGTCGAGATGTTGTCTGCAGGGGAATGGCACAACTGGTACTCTTAATCTTGAAGCTCGTGATGCGCAGGAACAAAAAAACAAGCCTGGCCAGGATGCTTCAAAACAATTTGACCCCGCAAAAGGTGGTCTAAGGAGCTACGTAAGGCTACGAAAAATAACACCATCCTCAGATTGCCAGGCAAAAGGCTTCTCTTCTACCCTTGCAGCTATAAGGCCAGGAGGGCTGCACGTGCATGGTGTGATAACAACGAAAATCATATGAACGACGGCAAAACATGACGGCCAACGTCAACACTCTGAATTAAAAGTCTGTGACCAGCGCGTCCATACTAGTTTTGACATAATGTAAGATGACAATTTCAGTGCAACATGATGCGTCACATGCATGTCTATGGGGGGCAGCCCGGGAACAAACGGGCAAGACTTTCCTGAAAGCCGATTTCTGAAGGCCTTGTTTCACTTTCAGCAGGGGGGGCAGAGGAGGCCCATCTCTGCCCAACAAAGCTCTCGATGGTACCCTCAGGATACTGAGAGTGATCATCCAAGATTACCTGCAACATGTGCCTCTTCCTAACAAGTCATCATTGAAAGCGGAGAGAAATAGAGGGCATTCCGTAAACGTTGGCAGTCGCTGGCATTCGTTAGAATTGATGGAATCTAGCATGTTGATATCTTCATGTATACCCAAAACAATCGCAAATGTAGACTTCACCGTAGCGCTCTCCATACTTTTTGAAGCTCAGATTCTCAAGTAGCCTTGGCATGGTCGCAGCCGGCTGCCACACAGGAACCACTTCGTCCAATCGGCAGTGAAAGCGATCATCATGATGGCCCCCAATGATGCTGGCGTTTCAGCATACTATCCCAAATCACCCCGAAGCATAAGGTGTTCACTCAGTAATGAAAAAGGTTGTAGTGCCAAGGAGCGGTCAGAGCGTGTGCTAGGGCTTGGCACAGCTTGGGGGGGTAGGGCTGGGCCACCAATGTCATAGGTAGACCACTTGGATGAGAACCAGTGAGATGAACATGACGGCGGTGTGTGCGGCTGCACACGGGACCTGCGCAAGTGCGACCCAGCCTGTTGAGATCATCCATGTCTATGCCAACGGTCAAGAAACCTGTGGGCTTTTTCCAGGCAGTGCCGTACTGACAAAAGTCTGCCCGAATCAGATGAGCTCCCGGCTGCTGAAGAAGCTTCTGAACTGGGGGAAGGCGCCATGCCTTGCTGGACCACGGGTTTTCAAGGATGAAAGGCACACGGTTTGCAATGCACGCCTGAGCAACCTTCACACACGTCAGAAAGCATCGATTGCCGTCCTCTATCTTTTGCTGCTCAGCTGGAGTCAGGAGGTGAGGAGGCAGCCCCCATGGATGATCTTTGTTGCGGATGACTTTGGTGCGATCTCGCGCCACTGAAAAACTGGTACAGACAGGGGCCATCATAACTGCCCCCACTCGACCCTTGCGTATTTCTCTAATAATTCTGCGCACAACTTGCGAGCTTGTGAGGTCGTGTTGAGGCCCCCATCTGATGTCCCATTCCTTTGCATGAAAACCAAGTCGCCTACAAGCATGTGCCACGCCACCATTACCGCTAAAGAGGTCCATCACGTAGAAGGGGGACGTGAGATATCGACCTCTGCGATGCTTGGGATGCGACTTGTGCCGGCCAGGATGCCCATAAGCAAATCCTCGCTCATTTGCATGAAGAGACGCTTGCCCATTGGGACGCGGTTCCACGTGGCTGCTAGTTTGGCTGACTTTTCGTAGCGGTGCACACTCTTGGTGCTCTTCCACTGACCTCTGCGCTGAACCTCCAGCTGTGTCCTGTAATTGCGGTTGCGATCGATGGACGGACCAGAGCGACGTGTTTGGTACGGAGTCAAGGCAACCCCAAGGCGCTGAGCCGCTTGCGTGATCATCTTGCTGTACTCCACGTAGCTGAAAGGTCACAGGGGTTCGTTCGGATCGCCCTTGACCAGGTTGGCGAAGAGCTTAGCCTGCCAGGTAAGGACTGTCCAATATGACACTGACATCGAAAAGCCCTGTCTTTGTGGCGACGCCGTCTTCCTCTGGCGCCAGCAGCAGGCTCCAGTGGCGGGTCACATGGCTCGCTGGTTTTATCAGGCTTCGTTTCTTGCAGTTGAAGATGGGCCTGGCATACGACGAAATCGCCACCATCACGAAAACTGCCATCGCAACGAGGCCCCAGTGGAACAGAAGAGCCACCACCCCGCACCAAACAGCCAGCGGATAAGCATCCGGGTTCGGCCCGGACACAGTTTGCGCCAGCCTTTGAGGGCTCGCCATGCCCGTGGCATTTTGACATTGCCCAGGCGGCCGCAGCTGGGATGACGATGCATCACACTGGCCATGAGACGGTCCCCGTGGTAGCTTTGGAAGCCCTGCCGATACAGAGCATTCATGTGCTGCACCAGAGAGTTGTCCATGGCCTCCCCCAAATTGGTGTCCAGCTGATGCCTCTGAGCATACTTCATGAACCTTTCCAACTCTGCTTGATAGCTCGCCTGAGTGGAACTGCTCACTGCTTGCCGTTCCAGGCGCGTGGCCGGAAGGAGACTGCTGTTGTCCTGGAAGAAGTTTGTCACCATCGTGGATGAACGCCTGGCCCGTCGCCTGGGGGCTAGGACCCGTTCCCGAGGGACGGAGACCGGCTGGCGCTTGAGCTGCTGTCGGTCCGCGTCACGGTTGGCTTCCTTTGGTTCTGTTGCAAGGGCTGCTCGAGGGGAACTTGACTGAGGTCGAAATCCCTGCTGGTTGACGGCTTGTTGTTTTTCTGTACACTCGTTGCCAAAGTCAAAGTCCGGCTTCTCTTGCTGGTTGCTCGTGTCTTCGGAGGCTCCAGCTGTCTCTTTCGCTCTGGCTTTGCTTGACTGGCTGCCGAACTTTCGCCTGGATGCAGGGTCCTCTGTCTGGCCCGTGGCATGGCTAGGACGAGGAATCTGATCAGCGAGTAGCTTTGAAGGTGCTGAGTCATACAGCCGGCTAGGCTCATCGCTACTGTTCAACTCGCTGGGTAGCCATCTAAAGCTGGCGCTGGAGTTGGTGGCAAGTAGGTAAGCACTAGCTTGTCTAATTTGCCTCAATATGCGAAAGTGTGAACTTCGGCTTCGAGAAAAAGCTAAGGTGACCCCCATATTGTCGATCAAGAAAAGA